AAAGGTGATATTACAGACATCAAGGGAATGGGTACTGTTCAAAAAGGCATGCCATACAAATGTTATCATGGCAAAAATGGAAGAGTCTACAGTGTTATCCAGCATGCTGTTGGGATTGTTGTAAACAAACGAGCAAGATTCTTGCCAAGAGGCTTAATGTTCATATTGAGCATATTAAGCAGTGTAAGAGCCAAGATAGCTTCCTAAAATGTGTGAAAGAAAAAAGAAGAAAGCTAAAGAGAAAGGTACCTGGTTTCAGCTGAAGCTCCAGCCTGAAGCTCACTTCGGAGAAGCTCACTTTGTGAGAACCAACAGAAAGGAGCCTGAGCCCCTGGAACCCATTCCCTGTGAATTCATGGCATGATAGGCATACAGCATAGCACACAGGAGAACCCAGAGAACCAATGGAAACATGATATTAGGTGCTAGAACCTACTTATTCCCCATGAATTCATGGCATAATAGGTGTACAGCATAGCACACAGGAGAACCCAGAGAACCAATGGAAACATGATATTAGGTGCTAGAACCTACTTATTCCCCATGAATTCATGGCATAATAGGTGTACAGCATAGCACACAGGAAAACCAAGAGACCCCCATCTAACAGTAATAGAAGGTGCTAAAACCTGTTCCCCATGAATTCATGGCATAATAGTCATACAAGGCTTTATCACATTCAATGGCAAGGCACCTCCCTGAGCTACTGGAACCTTTTCCCTATGAATTCATGGTATAATAGATATTAAAAATAAAAGCCTACTACTGAAAGAAAAGAAAAAGAAAAAAAGAAAAGAGGATTCTTTCCCCAAGTTTGCTCACCATTAGTAGCTGCTGTTAATACTTTCTTTAGTTTCCTTCCAGGAATAAGATATGCATGTCTTTGCACAAAATTATATAAATGTAAATTTTAAAAATGAAATACAAAAAAATTACACAAATGACATCACGCTATACTTTGCTTTTTTTACTGCTTAGTCTATTTCAGACACCTTTCTATACTACATATAAAGATCTCATTAAGACAGCTGCAGAGAATTGCCTCTTGTGGATGCACATAATTTATGTAACTAGTTTGTTTATGGACTATTGGGTGTTTTTCTAATTTTTGCTTTTACCAGCAGTGCTGGAGTAAGCATCCTTGTCTTTGAGTAAGTTTATAATGAGGTAAACCCTTAGCAGTGGAATTGTTAGAGCAGAGGGTGCATGTATCTCTTATTTTGATAGCTGTTGCTAAATTTAGAGCACTGTATCTTTTCAGCTTCTCCAAAATTAAGTCCTGTAGGCTAGACTGTTTAAATTAACCTGAAAAAATCTATTAACCTAAAATGACCCATAAATCTGCTACCCAGAATATGTAAAAAAAAGAGTTGTAGATGGATTCCAAGAGTATCCATAAATATAAAACACAAAGTGAGCCTCTCCCTCCGTTCCTCCCAGCTCCCTCCCTTGACCCCAAACTGCGTAATAGTCCACCTTCTGAATGTGCTGTCACTTACCTAAACAGTTCCCTGTTC